TACGGTATGTATCTCTCAAGCACTCTATAAACTTGTTTGCTGCGTTAGTTGAGCCTTCTGATCCTAGCACATGTGGTGAGGGGATCCATCTAATTATTGGGTGATTGAAGTCTCCTGCAAAGAGCACATGTGTTGCTTGGCCGTTAGTTGCCCATTTTAAGTTCTCATGTAGGGCTTCATCACGTGTGCATGCTAGAGTTGGCGTCCCTGATCTGTATATCACCCCAATCCTTAGAATATCATTCCCTTGGCTCTGCATCTCCACCCATGTGCTATCGTGAAATGTCTCTGCATGTGGTATGATTTGTTTGGCTTTCAGTGATGTCTTGACATATATGCATGTCCCTCTTGTGTTTTCTGCCGTTAAGTCACTGTGAACAAGTCATATCCACTAATTTGCATGACTGAAGAGTCGGGTATTTCTCCGTTGTTTTTGGTTTTATTTCTGTAAGCAGCATTACGTCGTAGTTTTCTTGGTTGACCCGTATACATAGCTCATCATACTTGCTCATAAGTGAGTTGTCCGTGTTTGTGTACATTATCTTCAGCTTGTTGTGTAGTCGATTCTTTACTTCACCTCTACTATCTTTCCTCTCCTTATCATCCACTTTCGCTCTGGGTCTTGCTCTCGTTGGTCCTTCAGCTTTGCTCTCAAGTTTTTTGACTCTTCTAGCTGCTTTTTTGTCAAATCTGGGCGTATATATACTAGCTTATAAACCTCGTGTGTGCTATCTCTTAAGTCCTTAGCCATTGCTAGTATCTGTTTCTTCTCGCCTATGTTTGTCAGTGATACTTTCAGTAGTCTGGTATTCCCACTAGTTGGTTTCCCCATTCTTGTAGAACTTGTCGCTTTAACCATGAGTTTGAATTGGTCTTTTACAAGTGTTTGGAAACTTTCAGCATCGCCCTCTGTCGACCCTGTTTCTGGTAGGTTGTGAACTATCAAGTTTAGCTTTCTGGCTTCTTGATCCTCTATTTCACTAAGCTTCAAGTTCACCTCATCGGAAGCTGCCTTGGTTGCTCTAGTCAACACCTCATCTAGTAATTGTTCTGGTACCGCATGTTGAGTCTCTGATGATGCCTGGTAGTTACTCTGCAGTTCTTCTAGTTGGTTAATTCTTTCCTCATGTGTATTTTCGGTGGCTTCTAGTTTTGCAATTCTTGACCCATGTGAAATACTAGTACTCTTCAGTTCACTGACTTTCTTTCCAAGCTCTGTTTTCACCCCATCAAGCTCATGGCTCATTTGGTCCAATTTCTCATTCACTCTCTCTAGCTCATTGGTCAGTGCTACAACACTTAGGTATAACTTCTTGGCTCCTCGTTTACAGTGTTGACAGTACCAATGGCACTCATCTGGTTCTTCAGACATTATATTGTACAGGCTGTCCGAGACATTTGCGCATTTTGCATGGAACCAGCCAACACAAATCTCACATTCTACAGCTTTGTCAGATTCCTTCACTTGTTTCTTGCAAACTCCACATGTGAATACTTCTGTCTCTGGTTTATCAATGCTTTTCTTGTTTGTTGTATTCTTTTTTCCATTATGATCTGATGAAGATGATGTACTCACATGTGATCCTTTGTGTTTCTGCCTGGTTCCATTCTCCGCCTATTTTTTTTTTTTTTTTTTTTTTTTTCCTTATTCTTTCCTCGAGTCTTTCGTCGGTTAGTTGAATTTGCTAGTTATCCTTTTCTTCCACGGTCGCACTAGATTTGGAGCCTCCTTTTCCGGTTCTGACTCTGGCTTGGCTCTAGTGACGATTTGGTGCAAGTCCGTACTTGTCCTGCCGCTCTTCCTCTGTCGCCCGTTGCACGTGGTCTTTCTTCCGACTCTAAAAGTTCGGTTGTGTTGCCGTAATTCCTCTTTTTGATGTTCGGAAGTTTCCTACTGCACGCCGGGACCTTTCTGGTTGACTCCGTAGTCTCGCGCGCGTGTGGAAGGAGGATTTTCTCTTGTTAGGTCGCGGGTGGGGGAGGGGGGCGTACGCACCCTTGTCCTCCGTAATAATCCCAAAAGTATCCGCCGCGTATCTCCGTAATCCCCGCGAAATGACGTTCGGAATCCTAAGGATCCTTCGTTGAACAACTCTTCTATAACTTTATCGTAACCTTAATCCTGGATGGGTAAGAATAAACAGAAATTTTTGTGATTTTCTGAGAGCTCTTCCTAATACGTGGTGATGCTGCTCGCCGCCATCTTGCTGCTATAATACATGAACATCATTTACACAGAGGGTTTTTCGACATTTTCACAAAGTTACGGCGTGTCATTGATAACAATCTAAGTGAAACTTAGCTCATATTATTGGCAAATACATACTGTTCAAATACATAGTACCACCCCAATCAGCATCTCTTACCTATGGCATTTCGGACGATAGACGTTGTCGTTTTTCAGAAAATCAATCGTCAGTGAAATATCCACACCTACACATCTTCGTGCACAACCAATATTGGACTTACCTGAGCAAAATTACAGCCTGATATTGTGTGATAACTTGAGCTAAAATCATGGAGTAACAGGGCCAAATCCCCATACATAAACAGTGGGACTTTCGACGACAGAAGTTGTCTATTTTCGCAAAATCTAGGGACGCGGTAAAAACTCAAACTAGGTGGCCTTAAACTTCACCGAATTACCTACAAAATGACACCAAAACTACGAAGATTGACCTTACCTGAGCGACAGGATGGCAGAAAATGTGCCTTGCTTGGATCGCCGATTCAAGACGGCCGCCATTTTGGTGCGTGACCCCAGTGTGAACTCTGACCTAAAGGGGTCACGTAACCTGATTCACCCGTTCAGCAAGTAGAGCTGTTTAGCCGACGTCGCTCAACCATGGGCTAAAGTAGGTACTTGTCTGCAGCTCTTGTCTGCGAGCTCGCCTTGGGAACGGGAACGCATGACCGACACAGGGACAAGGCAAACCTTGTAGCAGAGGTGTACTGCGACCTTAACCCAGCATTCCTTTTGACAACCGTGACGTGGCTGCATAGACGCAGACAAGTTAGACTTCATTTCGTGCCGAGGTGATTCAGAGGCGGGTCAGCACTGGAATATCTCTAACACTGCCGTCCGATTTGTGCCTTACAGGTGGGAATGTATTCACTGTTAAAGTTTTAAGTTTCCGAGGAGCGTTAGTGCGCGTTAGTTACTTACGCCACGTAGACAGTTATCAGACATAGTTTATCTTCCTAGCCTCCTTCGCAGTCTTGTTGGGTGTCGGCGTTATTTTTTCTCTGAGCGACGCGAGTAATATGCGGCCGCGAGGGACGATTTGCTGCCGAGGGAGTTGAGCGCGAAACCTTCTCTTCGTGGCAAAAACTCCCTCGGCAGCAAATCGTCC